TAAGTGTGGGAGAGCCATGCTTCGGCACGAATGGGCCGGCTCGTACGGAGTTATACCACGGCCTCACAGAAAACTGACGTGAAACAACACTTGCGTTGTTTTTTGTCGTGTGGGTGACGTTACCGGAGGCCAAATTATCCCCCTCCCCTTCCCAATTCCTGAATCCCTAACAATTTTTAAGTTCCTAATCCCCAAAAGGCCGGTAACGCACTTGTATCGCCTCTGATGTTCCGGGTGTCCATGGGCGGCGCCGATTGTTTACCATCATGTAATCCGTCTGCTCGCTTACCGGCTTATCGCATAATAGAAATAATGCTTTATATCAAACATGATAGAGTTTGAAATAGGGTTATCAGAGGGTGCCTCTGCCCGGTCTCTGTGAAATGTGTAAACAAGGTTTAATCTCATCAAAATGTAACAGAACGTATTTTACCAATATTACCAAAAAACTTTCCACGAAAAAATATAGGTACGACAGAGCACATCTTAGTGATGATAGGGCAAAATTATTTGCACCACTCACGCTGCCAATGAGAATCCGTGCCGCCCGCATCAGCCTTCAAAGTAGATCATGAGGTAGCGATCCCAAAGCTGCTATAACCGAACTTTGCTGATTCAGCTCAATGTAGATACAGTTTGTAGAAATAGCTTGAATATTCTAGAACATTCTACTTGTAAAATTGAATTTTTCGGCAGCCTACGATTTTATTATGTACTAGCTTTTGCCAGCGGATTCGCGCGCCTTTCTAAGGATAAAAGTGGGAAAAACCTATATCGAGGGGTAACAGACTATTTGGTTTAAGCGACATTTTGGGCTATATTGAGTTATTATATATATTCGACGGAGAAAAATTCGCTGTTTCCGAATATATATATATATAACTCAATATCGCCCAAAATGTCGCTTAAACCAAATAGTACGTTACCCCTCGATATGTTAGTCCAGACCACAATCTACCTCAGTTCCAAATTCCACGCCGGTCCCTTCAGCCGTTTTGAAGTGACTGAGAAGCAAACATACACACAAACTCACATATTTCGGTTGAAGCTAATTTCAACCATCGGCCCTACAGTTACAGCGTAAAGTCCACTGCGGGCAACCTAACATTCGACAAACTTATATTTGCGTTTGGTACATTAGCTATGTCTAGGGATTGAGCCGCACACATACGGCAGCTGACACGAAAGGTATGTTTTTTTTTCTTTTATGGCAATTTAGTCTCCACTATTTAGTAGTTGACTGCCAACGTCATGTGGATACAGTACTGTCGAACTTTATTCACTTCGAGGTATGTCTGCAATGTTAGTAGCTGAAAGACAGGACACAATTTGGTAAGTAAACACTAAACATATATAGTAAATTACAGTTTATGTATTTGAATAAAAAAGGGACAACACATAGCATTAACATTTAAAAAATTATTATATTAGGCACTCTCATTGCACATTCGATTTTAAAAAAGTATGTTAAATACCTACAGGAAATGGTTTACGTTCAATGCAATTTGAAGTTTAAAAATGAACACGACTAACATACCTCTAAATGTATAAAGTTCATCAATTAGTGAGACATTGACTTAACTAGTTTTGCGTTAAAACAGAATTGAACATTATATTGCCGCATTCAAAGCTTCATTTCCTTCATAAAGAGTTGATTGACAGCTTTGATGTGTACAGGCATGCGTTGTTGATATTGCTGCCTTTGTCATACGATATTCTCATATTTACGAGTTCAAACATAATGTGATGTTTCCTTCATACGAAAAATAGTTTTCAAAATGATAGCCTTCAATAAACCCAACTGTTCAATATTCAGCTGCCCATTTATTCACTTTAAAATCGAATAAAATCTCAGTTTGTGTATCTTAATGATTGCAAATATAGAATTTCAACAGAAATGTTTTCTATCAGTTATTATTCTCTTATACATTCATCATATTTTTGTGTAAACATGTGCTTCGCAATATAAAACACGAAAATAAATGTTTTCAATAACTGGCGAAATGTAAATATGAAAGAGACTCTTTAGTAATATTTGGTGTTATATATAACAGATGAAATGTAATATCTCTGTGAATACGGCGAACGCATTAGCAGAATTAATGTTCTGCTTTTCAACTTTGTCCGCCATTCTGGGCCAAATCGGGCTCTTGCGATGGATTCAATAAGGAATCGATAATCTTGAGGGACCTCGTAATGCCTACTTATTAGATGGAGTTGAGAACGGATTGATAGCTGCCGACGGAAATAAACCCACTTGCGTTTACTTCGACTAAATGTAGAATTTTGCGTGAATTGTATTTTTGTGGCCAGTATTACTGCTATTGGAATGAATAAATCAACCTCCTTTACTTACTTACTTAATAACTGGCTAGGCCAACAAAAAAAAAAAATCAACAGAGTATTTTTAAATTTCGAATTGTTTAAAAATGCCATTTTATTTACAAAAACAAAGAATGAAACAATAATGAAATTAATTTTTAACGGTAAATTCAATGGCTTTTGTCTTTTATTTATATATATGTAGGTATTTAATTAAATCCTGTTTGGCGGGAAACATAAGTTGTTTAAAGTAATAGTGATTCATAAAAATATGAATAATATAAGCTAATCATATTTATATAAACATATAAAATGTTCAAATAGTTATAGTTATCACTGATTCTAATTTCTTTTAATGAATTAATATTTTTTTAGAAATAAGATTTAAATTGTTACTAATAATTGTCTATGGTTTATGTTTTTTTTTGTTGTCGGTGGCAACACTTTGGTAATGGCGCGAATTTATGAGAGTGAGCGTCGAAAATGAATATGTTAGTTGGTTTATTGTCAAAAATTGTAAAGTCAATAAAGATAAAGTGCAGTTGTGAATTAAAATCTGTGTTTAGGTTTCAAAAGGAAGCCACGTCTTTAAAAATCAGGTAACATTCAACGAATATTTTTACTGTGTAGATGAAATTAATTACATAAAATACTCCGTCGAGATTCCAGCGTTGATTAAGATCTTTGAACTTCACCTACTAAAAATGCAAAGCCGTAAATGGGACATGAATGTCAATAAGATACTTTCTGAGCATTAAACAGGTAATCTTTCGTTTAACTAGGGTCCAATAAATTAATGCGCGAGGGCGACAACGACGATGATCGTCCTCGAACACTTTAATAGAATTATTCTATTTTAGCAAAGGCTTTTATAGACGCCATTTATTTCGGAACCATCTGAATAATGTAATTAAATGTTTATTAAGAAATGTACCTTAAAGTTATGGTTTTTAGAGGTAAAAGATGTAAATGTAATTCTTTTTCGTTCTAGTTTTTACTTTGGTAATTTAACTGGATATCTATTTTTACATTTTCCTTTTTTTTGTTCTGACGCTCTGTTTTTCAAATTTATAATCGGGAAACCCGTATTCCTAAACTGGTAACGAAATCAGTTGGCCATTTCTCACTGTAGCTATAGTTACTACATTTTAACAATTTCAATATACTAATTGAATTTCCTATCAAGTGTGTAAAAATCTTAATCACAAATATTTGCAGAAATTTAAGCTAAAATCCTGGCTTGAAAATATGTTTTATACAAAACGAAAATAATGTATTCTTATACCATTACAATCTACAACTGATATCGTACAACGAAATCATTTTCTTAAACAGTGTATCCACATTTAGAATCGCATTGCAACTTCGAGCGGTCTGCTCCGGTAATAACCGGTATGAGCCGATTTGAATGCAACTGTGCCCGCTGCCCGTTTGCAATTAAATGTTTCCATTTCAATGGTGAACTGAAATAAGACAAGCTTTGCAACTAGTTGTGGGTATTATTGCCTTTATGTGGTTTTAAGGACAAGAGAAACAAAGGCTGTAGTACATTAGGGGCAGTTTCTTGAACTGTGTACTGTACATTTACTAACATAGAGACGATAGCATAACGTTTTGCCTAATGTTTCAGTGTTTCAACTTTATTGCATGTTGATAAGGTTGAGAATCTATAACTTAACAAGTTGGGATCAGAATAGAGTACTTTGTACTCACAGAATTCATTTACAAAATACGTAACCTTCTTTTTTAAATAATAATGTTAAATGTATAACATTTTTAAGGTTTAAAAAGTCGTGATCCGTATAAGCACTTAGAATACTTGTAGCAGCTTGATCTTAATTTCATACGAATATCATATAATTTACTAAAGCACATTTGATAGCATTATTTAGTAAGGACAGGAAATAATTTATGATAGTCTGTGGTTTATTTATTTTCCTTCCCACTTTCCATTACTTTAATCTAACCGTATTTTTTCTCAGAGAAGCTAATAGAACACGTTTTGCAATGTGGAAAAACAATTTTATTATGTTTCTACTAAGATGTGTGGGTAATCTATAAATCTAATTATCGGAATATTTATTACTTTGTTTTTCCGTTTCTCATTACCTTAGCGGAAAAACATTTTTAGAAGTCAACAAATGTTTTAGTTATATATTTTATTAACCACCTTCATTAACAAAATTTTACGTTTTTTCATGACAACCTAAGCATATAATATGTCGCGGAGAACCTAACGGGTTACCGGGGCTCCGGCTCGACGTGCAATAGAAGGAACGGGGTGGTTTTTAGTCAGTAAGAGTCTGACACTCCGCCCCGCCTCACCCAGGCGGGAGCAGTCATTCGATGATTTTCCCCCCTTAAAAAAACATACAATATATTATGTCAAACTATTCCAACGGAAAGTTTGTAAATCATTAGTAATAACTAAAAACTAAATCAATGTTTAGTAATAACTAATAAAAACAAACAGTATTATTTGTTATTCAAACCCAATTTTGAGAACTGAAAACAATACTAACATCAAGCTAATGAAACATAAATTCACTACAAAGTACGTATTTCAAACTATTCCGTATAATTATTCAAAAGTTAAAGCAGCTTGACCGCAAGAACGTTTCACTCGCACATAAAATCAAACTTAAGTTGCTATTAAGTTGGCTAGAGTAGTGTCAGTTGGGGGTAGTCGAGTTCTCTAGGGCGGGTTTCAATCTGCTAGCGCCAGTCGGCGTGTGAACGCGGCCCAAGGCACACGTGTTGATTCCCCAACCACTTTTGGAGGGAAAACTTCGAACGAAAAATGTACGAGTAAAATTTTTGTGACTTAAAATGTAATTTCGGAACTGCAGTGAGTTTAAAGACATGTGAATTTTAATGGCTGTGTTTAAATCATGACTTAAATGGATAGTTTGGTAATTGGTGTTCAGTGATTGTAGAAATAATGAAAGGTTAGTTTCCTAATTTATTTATCGTTAATATCTAAGTAATATATTTATCTTAGACGCGTAGAGCTTCAGGACTTTTATGCGACGGTGTACGTTCCAAGAATATTAAAAATGAGGGCTGCCCACATTTTTCTAAAAATATTAAAATACTTGCAACCGCCGTACTAAAACTTTTTGTTTTTTACTTTGGAACAGTTTTACATAATTTAAACGCTTTCAAGTATATTGTGAGTTCTCCGGTGTTCGTTTAGAATACTTATGTACGTACATTTTTTCTCGCAGATTTTTGTGTAAAGTAATATTTATTCTGCCTAAAATAAACATAACGTAAGTTGTATAAAGCTTGCTTTATCGCAGAAATCGTGAAATTGTAAAAACACTATTTTTGCGAGGTAGGAAATATAATAATGTTAGCGTACCTCCGTGATATTTTTATTGATATTATATTCCAGCCACGATTGGGGGTGTATTTAAAACTTTGCTATATTTATTGTGCAGTACCTGCATGCTTGTACATTGTAGGAAAATTGTGCTGTAGGTGTCTTATAAAAAAGGCAACTAGCACGACTATAATTATACTAAAAGTTAATAGAGTAATATGTATCTAATAAGAAAAATATATTCTCTCTCTCATATTTATACTGATATCGCCCGCCGTAGGTATGTTTTTTAGTAAAATAGTTTTTTTTTATCACAAGATGTAAAACTAATTCATTTTTATTCATAATGCCACCACCAGCCAGAAATATGAAAACATTAAATTATGCATAAGTAATAAAACCTCATTTCCATTTTACTTTAGCACCAGTGTGTAAACTAAAATCTCAATTTAAAAGCTGAGCTATGTTCTTAGCAAGTGGGTCGTTGGCAGCTCGGCAGTAAATAAACCGGTGGCTTCAAGGATAGACGTTCACGCGCTCTGATTTATGACATGACCCTCTATGAACGGCACTGCCGCTAAATCTCTAAAAGTAAAAATTAACATATCTTTGCTTTTGTATCCATGGTAGAGAAGGTTATTTCTATATTTACGAAATAATTTTCTATAGATATTATAGACAAGTTGATAATAGTCAAAATCAATGGGAACTTTTTTCGACGTAACTGATTTTATAACGTTTTATGCTTAGTTCTGACATGGCGAGTACTCAAAAGGGCGGTTCGATTCACCACAAAACTGCTGACTTCAAAAATTTTATACAAAGCGTTCTTATAAAGTTTTAAAACGCAACTCAGCGTTCGATCCGAGAGTTCATTCGTTCTGGTTCACTTTTGATGGATTATGCCTTCGACTTTGAGCCACCACGATGCAGAATATTAAAACGTACTAAAGGAAATTTAAACTAAACTTTCTCAAACAAACATTTCGAAAACTGGTCTCGTATTTCTGTAAGCTTTGTTATTATGATTTATGTGCCGTAGGAAGTTTTCTAATTAATTGCTATTCGAATTAATTTAATGGATATTAATTTGTAATTATGAAAGATTGGATGGCAAAACGGATTTGTTATAAATAGGATGGATCCGTACACTTTGACTTGGGTACTGTAGCGAGAATTTACACAAATTCATGACTTTGAATTTGACTTAATCACTGAAGCGCGATTCGGGATAAAGTAAATAAATGAGCAAAATGTTTTTTTATGAAGCAAAATGTTCTCAAATGTGCCTCTATATAATGTAATATAATTTCACGTCTGATTAACGTTTTAAGGAAGCTTTTAATAAGAAAATGCAATATTTTTACGTTAAAGATGAAAAACAAATCACATTCAAAACAAAACCATCCCTAACATTATAAACTGAAAAGCATTTAGAATGTTTTTATAATAACTATCGTGAGACATGCTGAATTACCTAAAATTGCGAGTTTCTCACGTAAATATACTGAGAAAATCTCTACTAGTTTCGAGTCACAGAAGGACCTTATGACCAGCGTGTGCGGTGGCCGCGATGTCGCGCACTGATAACACTACTGGATTATTTAATAATATTTTAAATGCTGGATTTGTTAATTCATGACTAAACTGTTATATATACACGAAACTGCACGTATTGGTTAAAGAGAATTCATTTTTGAAATTATATTTTGCATTTATGTGTGGGAGAGCCATGTCTCGGCACGAATGGGCCGGCTCGACCGGAGTGATACCACGGCCTTACAGAAAACCGACGTGAAGCAGCAATTTCTGAATCCCCAACGATCCTCAAACTCCTAATCCCCAAAAGGTCGATAACGCACTTGTAACGCCTCTGGTATTCCAGGTGTCCATTGGCGACGCCGATTGCTTACCATCAGGTGATCCGTCTGCTCGTTTACCGGCTTATGCCATAAAAAAAAATGATAATTATTACTCAGTTATCTACATTTTTATGTTTTTTAAATGCCTTTTATGATTCTCTTGTTAATTTATTTATTCAAACTAGATGGTCTTATCTATAACTAATTTAGACGTGGTTTAAATTTACATTAATGATTTCCAAGAATTTTTGCTTTCTGAGTTTATCGTTTCAAAGTAGTGAATACCCTACAAAGTTTGCTAATAATAATTTAATTGCTTTTAGTATTTAGAAATTCCAGTGAGTTTTAAATTACATGAACATCAACACACTATCACTTTAATAGTTTTCATTGAAATTGTACATCGAAATATCTATCTATATAAATAAAAATGAATTTTCGTTCGATAGTCTTGCTAAAACTCAATAACGACTGAACTGATTTGGCTAATTTTGATGATAACATGTTCATGGAAGTCTAGGAAAGGTTTAAAAGGTGAGAAAAATGTTTTAGGCGAAACAAAGGTTGCCGGGTCAGTTAGTAAGCAATAAAATGTTGTCTTGTCACATTATTTGCAGTTTTCTTGTAGCAAGGATGTTTAATGTTGATCAGCCTATGTCAAAAAATATTGTCCATTACAGAATTGTTTTAATTACACTTATTTTTAATATTAATCAATAAATTAATTAAGATAAAAGGCTGAGAAATAGTGCATACGTTAACGTATTCACTGTTTCTTTTGGAAATCAATAAACTCAATATTACATTAACTGATAGAACCAAAGTAAATGTTATCAGCTTCAACAACAAGTAGGAGCATAAGCGAAAAATCTCATCTGGCGGTATATAAAATACAGTATCAATTACATTAAGCCTCGTTTGGATCTGTGCATTAATAATACATAGGGGTTAAAAATGTGTTTAAAGAATCTGTATAAAACGAATAACTTATTTCTATGTCATATAAAACCCAAGCTACATCACTCAATTTATTACAGAGCATTTGCTGCCATGGATTTTCATCACTATAACACTACTGGAAGCTGTGAGCGCAAGCGACAAACGGCCGCGGTTCGTCACAGAGCCGCCCGCGCGAGTTCTGTGGCCCGCCACACGCGGCGCACACGCTCTGTGCCGGGCGACAGGTCATCCACCTCCGGACATACATTGGGTCACAGCTGAAGGACAACTACTCACCACTATACCAGGATTGAGGTAAGATTTTTATTGCGATTTATTTACCTATTCACTTGCAACATAATGATTTAACGCGGATAGAAAGTATAGTAATCATTTATCAATTATGTCACACCTATTTTTAAATTACAAGAACTAGTAAGTATAGAACGCTTATTAGTTCTTAAATAAGACATATGTAAAAACCGTTACTTGTTTGTACCGTATTTACTTTTGTAGCCATGTGCTACGAAAATCGTAGCCGTGTACTGCGTAAATCGTAGCAAACTGCTACGATTCACTGAAACTCGATAAAATCCAATCGTTTGTCGGATTCATGTTAAACATAGTAACATATCTATTGAAAACTCACTGGCAAATGGACAAAATAAATCAAAGCAATAAAACTGTGCTTTTTGTATTCATATTGACCAATATGTCGATTCGCCATTTCGCTGCACATTCGTACTATTACATTTTTAACACGCCTCGCAGCGGCACTATGTACCGCATGCCATATGAAATGGTTTTCCATTAAAATAGTTCAACCAAAATAGCCAATTAAGAGAATTCGTTGTTAGATGAAATATTGAAAGTATTAATAGTATTTTGAGTTTTGAGGCTATAAATAGGCTAATTAGCGTCTGTGGTTATAATTATTCTGTCATACAACTTGTATTTTACTAAAATGAAAATAGTTCAATCTGTTATTGACGCAATTAAATTCTTTGTAATATGTTAAACAAATAATATTTTTTCATAGTTATTGATAGATAGATTATTACGTATAGTCGCCATCACATCAATCCTGTCAAACCCCACTGGATTTTGAACTAAATTCCACTACAATGAAGTTGAAAATCTGTTACAGACGTTTGACAGTTCACGAGTGGCTTGATGTGCTAACATCTAAATAAATACCCAGGTATAGGTGTTGTAAATTTTACTGGCACATAATATTAAAGAGCGTACCAGATATCGTAACAAATAATGAATCACGTCTCATCGTCAAAGATACATTGTTCTATTTTATTTTATATCCTGTTCGAAGTACAGTTCGTGTTCTCAAGAGTTAGAGCAACAGATCCACTGATCGGTCTTTAGATTGCTTCGGGATTGGGTGTTAGTGGAGTACAGGCGAAACTCGGCGACGGCTCCATTAAATAAACTACTCCAACTTCACCTATATTTTACAAGAAGGCGATACGCGAGTGAACAAGTTAATATTTACTGCTAACACCCCGGGCGAATGACTGCGTTTAGACGCGTGCTTCTTGAATACTTTACTACTCAATTTATATTACTGATTAATTACGATACTATTTCGTTATTTAGTAGATAACTTATAAACAGGTCGTGACTAAATAATTATTTCAATTCTTAATTTATTGGTAATGTATATTGTATGAGATTGTAAACTTGTAGATAAATTGATTAGGAAATAATTGCATGCCATAATGGCAAAATGTGGAAAACCATACTATAAATATTAAACACCTTTTGTATATTTTATAACCCATGTTTGCAACCGTAATAAATGATTTGAATTGATTTGATTTGAATTGGATTTGCAAACCTCTAATGATATGATATAATATAGAGGTAATATATAATATAATCATATAATACTTTTAAAACATTTTTTACCCTAAAACACTTAATTTCATTACCACTTAAACGAAGTTGATTAGTATTTATATACTTCTAAACCGCTCTTTATTACCTAAGTAAGAATATAAATTACGACAATATTTAATTAGAAGTAAGTGAACAGCGATGCTTCCGCAAAATAAAACATCCCTAAAAGCTTATGACAAAGTTGTGTCAATTAATCTCGGTTGAAATTTCACAAGAAAAATGTATCTACATTAAGCAAGCACCGGGTGTACCAAACTTTTTGCCTCCACAGTGTCTAATGACTAACGGCAAGCGAGTCGACGAGTTTTGTATTTTTAATAAGGCCTTGTGTAAGTGTGCCGCGGACTTCAGCAACTTACTGAAGAGACATTTAAAACTTTACAGTGAAAGTTCCTTTACATCTTACTTAGTACTTTAAAGTTATTTTAAAACTGCATTAAGACAACAGCCATTTGAATCGATTCATGACTTAATTGATTGATGAGATTTTTGTTATTGTCTCGCTGTTGTTTTAAATTTTGATTTATGAATTGAAATTTGAAAAAATATTTGAGATTATTGTATCTCGTTTTGATTATCATGATGTATTATTTTAATCCTCGTCTTTTACACCTACATTAAGTTCATAAGAAGTAAACTGTTCACTAATCGTAAAAGTTCTATTACTTGCTGTTAGATGTTCAACAAATACAATCGCCTATCTATCATACTAGCGGCCCGCCCTGACTTCGTCCAGGTATAATTCTGTAAATTACATCCCTCCCTACCCCTACCCCTACCCTACCCCTACCCTACCCCTACCTTACCCCTACCCTACCCCTACCCTACCCCTACCCTACCCCTACCCTAC